TTCGGCGGTCGAGGGAAACGCCAATTTCTCAATTCAGGAAGTACCGAATTTGGTTGCGGCCCGGTGGGTTGCAGCGTTCCAAGCGTTCAAATAAACAACTGTTGCGCTGAATTCACTTGCCCACCGGGGCCACCTGGCTTCTCCGGATTCTCAGGATTACCTGGAGGTTTGCTTTTCTTCCTTACTAACAGCAGAAATGAAATTTGCGAACAGCAAAATGCATCGAGTGAAATCAAATGCAAAGCATTCAAATGAATTAGTACAAGACACATGTGATGTTCCAGATTTTTTGAAGGCATGCTGCTGTATTCGATAAGAGACATTCACGAAAACTCTGAGCACATTATATATCACCGATGAAAGACTAAAGATATTTCTTCATTTCAACAACGTGTTTAGAAATGGGAGTGCCTGGTGTGACTGGCAGACCAGGACTGTCAGGTGATCAGCTTGCGATACAGATGACAAGCGCATCGGTTTGTGTTCAATGTCCCAGAGGACCACCAGGAATATCTGGACCGTATGGATTTCCCGGTCCAGTTGGTCCACCAGGTCCACCAGGTCCTCCAGCACCAATTGTTTGCCCAGGACCGCCAGGGCCACCAGGATCTCAAGGCATAACGGGTCCACCCGGTAAGCGTTTACTTCTAAAAACATGAAAAAAAAAACAGATTTTATGCGTCCTAAACTTTATAAATCATAATTATATAAGTTTCAAGTTATAATCCTAAATGACATAAGTTTTTCAAGGAAAAACTTGTTCAATAACGAAACTTCACTTCGATTGAATTATGCGCTTCTTTTCAGGAGAACATGGTGCGATCGGCCGTCCCGGCCAACCTGGACTACACCGAATACGAAGCATTGGTATACCGGGACCGAAAGGACCACCAGGACTACCCGGAAAACCCGGTGAAACCGGCTTCCGTGGAGATCCATCTTTACCGGGATTGACAGGATGTCCGGGCATACCTGGGCCACCAGGCAGTCCTGGACAGCCTGGTGCAGAAGGAGGTACTGGACTGGTAAGCTGCGAAACATTTGAACAATTATGATTCAGCCCAAATGCATTTTTTTCACGAATAGTTTCCATCAGCTTAGTGTTAATATAACTCCTAACATTCATCGCTAAACCAGAATCTTCAGTGAAATGAAAACTGCTGAATTTTCCAAATGAATTCCAGAAATTCCAACTTTTTCAGCCAGGCACAAATGGTTTGCCGGGGACTGACGCTGAATATTGTTGTTGCCCAAAACGCTCAACAGAGATCGATCAGCCGGAAACGTTCGTGAATCCACCAAATATTTTAACACCGTTCGAGACTCACCCAGTTCCAAGTGGCTTTGCTCAAACAACAGTTGATCGAGTGATCATCAATGAGGGTAACGTGCGAGGAGGCGATTTTGGAGCAGTAATTGGCGAGAATACATCGGGAAGTGAAGACTACGACGATGAAACGAACATACCCGATGACCCAACTGATGTTCAGTTCGCAGCTAACACCAACCCCAATGTTGGAGGAGTGCGTGCATCGGCCGCAATCCGGCCGCAGCAAGTCAGAAGAACTGCACCAAATCAGCTAGCTGCTAGCCGAAATCGGGCTGGCACCGGTCGACTATCCACCCGAGCTGCTGCTGTCCAACAACGACGAGCCACCGCAACAACTCGACGCTATCATCGAAGAGCTGCAGTAGCTCGTAGAAAATTTCGCACAAATGTGGCGGTAGCACGCAAACACCATCAACTACTACAACAGTTTTTTGAAACGAAATAAAGCAAAGAAGACAAGTTCGGATGCGTAATAAAGTGATCTCGATTAGCACTGTTTTTGCCATCAATTCGTGTTTCGAATTAAGCGTTGTTCATAATAAACACTTGTTCTTGCTTGAAACGACTCATTGATGCAGTTTGCTTACGGAGAAATGAACACGAACTTCAAATACTTCTTCACCTAATGCTTGATCGCCTCGAATTGAATATCTTAGAGATGAGAGAGAATGATTCAATGCTTGAATTCAACATCTACCTGATGAATTATCACTTAACAGAATCACTTAATCGCTACAAATCTGATTTCCTCCTCGGAAGCAATTGAGCATACAAATACGGCTTGCGTTCAAAAGGGAATTATCGCCGATGTGAGAGACTTTCTTAATGTTACATCGGTGAAGCAACAAAGTGAGCAGTTCGCAACAAATTCAAAATTGCTTCAGCCAATGCAATTTGTATCCATTTCAGTGCAACTTATCTTATCAATACATCCCGTGCGCTGTTGAAAAAGACTTCAATGTTGAGGTGTTTCAATGTACAACAAAAATAAATATTGCCCATCTAACACAATTATTACCAAACAAGAGTGCTTTTTCAATGAAATTCTCACCATTTTAAGATCAATCTCACTATTACATAATACTTGAGATTACATAATCTCACTAATAACAGAATGAATGAAATTTATGCATTCGTTATGATAAACTGAAAGTATTGCCGGTGTTTCGGTGCTCATATCGCATCAAGTCAATATGGAAATGAAATAAATAAATATGAACTGCATTATTTTGTCGAGTCATATCAGACAGATTTCGATATGGATTATAAAAGCCACCAAACGCGAATAGACTTTTCTCAAAGTAACAGAAAAGAAAATGCTAAAAGAATGACGAGTTTAATCAAAGGATTGAAAGACTGAATCGTTGTAATCAGAAGGCATGAAATGAAGAGGGCATACCACCGAAACGTTGAACATACCATACCTGTCATATTTCGCAAGATGGCTTTCGTTAACAGCAACCGTGATGTAAACGATACGTTAATCGGTGTATCCAGCGCGATATTCAGCAGGCTGAAGCTATCAACATAAATGACACTTTCGCAAGAATACAGCCACATTCTTAGCACTACACCGAGCACATCCACTCGTCGCGAACAAAACCGTGAACACTGAATGTTGTGAAAGTCTGCAGTTTTTTTAATTTAAACTGCACCATAAACCAAAAACATTCAATGCTCTATATGCAGACACTAGGTAGATCTATTCGTTTTAGGCGCTTTTCTACAATTTGATCAATCAAGCAGAGCATCTTTCGGTTCGTGTTGAGGGCATCGAACCACAGATACTGAACAAATTCAGTGTTATTACTGAACAAACCGAATTTAAGCCGTTTAGAGGTCAAATTCATCACTTTTCATACGATTTTTCGACGCCCAGAGCTCGTTTCAATGCCTACGGTTAGCTGAAGGGACAAATTTGCTAGATTTCAGTCAGCACAAGACGGCATCATGTAAAGTTTCTGTCAGTAACAAAACCCTCATCATCAAACCAACTACACATCCGATATCATCAAACCAACAACACATCATCAAACCAACAGTAACAAAACCCTCATCATCAAACCAACTACACATCCGATATCATCAAACCAACAACACATCATCAAACCAACAGTAACAAAACCCTCATCATCAAACCAACTACACATCCGATATCATCAAACCAACAACACATCATCAAACCAACAGTAACAAAACCCTCATCATCAAACCAACTACACATCCGATATCATCAAACCAACAACACATCATCAAACCAACAGTAACAAAACCCTCATCATCAAACCAACTACACATCCGATATCATCAAACCAACAACACATCATCAAACCAACAGTAACAAAACCCTCATCATCAAACCAACTACACATCCGATATCATCAAACCAACAACACATCATCAAACCAACAGTAACAAAACCCTCATCATCAAACCAACTACACATCCGATATCATCAAACCAACAACACATCATCAAACCAACAGTAACAAAACCCTCATCATCAAACCAACAACACTAAATAAACCAACAACACTTCCGATGTCTATTTTATATGGATACAGCATCGACGAGCAATGCCCTTCCGTATAAAACTATTTTTTACGATAACATTTGAATTTTTTCCATTATCTGCGTGGTAATCGATGGCAAATCAATCAATTCTTCAGCTCCATACAATTATGGTCAGTGGTTTGAATAAAAAAGCTCTGATCGTGCGTAAACTTCGACCAGTCGATGATCTGATAAACAGAAGTGTTTTATAAGGTGATATTATCAAAAAGTTTTCAACGATAATTCATCTTTCTTCACAATCATTTTTGAATTTTCTTCACCCGACGTAATTTATCCACATTGATGATAGTATGCAGGTGTTGTGATTGCAACAGTGGAGTATAATCGGGATAAAAATTTGGACGATCGTGATAAAAACTTGAACTGTCGATGTTTGTGTGTGTGTATGTGTGTGTGTGTATGCACATGTTGAAATGACTTTGAAGGAACAAGCAAAAGCATTGCACTTTATGACAATAACACAATAATTATAATGAATCAAAAAGAAATAAGAATGATTAAAACGATAAAGTTGAAAAGATGAACGAACAGTAGTCATTGAATATAATAATTAATAACAAATATCAACGTCCATAATGTGAATGAAATGATAATCTCACTCACAATTAATATTAATTAATAAGATATCAAATTCAAATATCGCCACATAATTGTCGAAATTCAATTAATGACGAATAATCAGTCCAACTGGGGTGGGCTTACAGACAATGAATGATATTACGATTACAATCAAGCAAAAACACTGCCAAAGAAATCCGAATCCGATCCCACCAAATAAAATAACTTTTCATTAATCAACACAAAACAAACTGAGAAAAAACAGCAGCAGTAGCGAATAGTAGTAGTATTAGTAGGCCGGCCATTAGAACAACTTACTTCAGTGGCTAACGATTTTCTTTGATTCACAGTGGGATGACGGTAACGTGACAACAAGATGAATTCGTCTCAATAATGAACTGACAAGAGAGATAAAAGATAAAATCAAACAATACAGCACTAACCAGTCAAGCATTCATATTCCTAAATATACGAATCACCGCAATACGAACAGCTATAAAGTGAAACGACGATAAATCAGAAAAACTAATCGTAAGTAGACGAATGAATAAAATTGTAATTACTATGCAAACCACTTCACTGATCGAGTAATACTACTTGTAAGAATATCAAATTTTGCAAACGCACATCAACTAATACAAACAACCACTAGAGAATGCTCAAAAAACGTTACTCTCCATTTGCATCAGCTTCAACTAGCTTATCAGCACCCTCGTTTACTTTGCAAGTTCAAGTAATATGACCGTACCGTACCGCTCTAGACTGGTGAACACTTCGTTTCAGAGATCCTTACCATTCACCTCTCTTACATTCGTTAGTATTTTGTCTCAGTTAACAAGAAACGCACCATCAATAAATCGCATCAAATGTGAAATTACCACGTAACACAACAACTCCTTCGATCTCGATATAAATCAATCATCACCGATCGATCAATAATAGCATAACGAAAACTACTTCGCAGTGCCACAAAATATTCACAGAATAATAATAAATATCAAATTCCCATTTTGATAATCACATAACAGCAATATCAAATGTCTAATCAGACACAATACCATACGTTTCAATACCTCAAACTTGTAACTTTTCAAAATATCAAATTAATCTGAAAGAATTCCATCCATTCGCAATCATCAATACAACATTCGTCACAGAATAAATAGTACCTATTATTTCATATGCTGTTTGCAAACTAAATGAAGAAATAACGTTTTTTGTTTTCTCAACGACTAGAAGAATTTTTTTGTGGTAAATGCTTGTCTAAATGAATGAAAATAGAAATTTAATGAGAAAATACGACCTTATACATCTCCAACCAAACAACACACCTAAACGCCGATCTCATGCTGCGGCAATTTTTTTTCAAAATCGATGGAAAACACTCGAAAAATGAGTGGATAACAACGCAAAATTAACAGACAAAAAAAGAGAAGCGCAATCGATACACATAAATTTCCTTCTGTAGCCGTGCTGTTGTAGTTGTTGTTCTAATAGTAATGACACGACGAGATGGAGGAAAAGATGAGAGTAAAGAGTCAAATAAATGAGAATTTTGGAAACAAAAGAATGACTGAAAGAAGAAAAACTCCTGGAAAATCGATTAGAAATGTGAAATCAACAACTGAAAAAGAAATGAAAACACACGCGTATGGCAGGGGACATTCTTGAAACAAACCTTCCATTTGAACAATAGTAATAAC